TTTCTTCCATTCATTTACTACATGGGCGTCCCTCCCTAGGCAGGCTCCTTGCGTTGGTTCCTAGGCAACTGTAATAATATTGCTGCACGTGTGTGTCAGGCATTGATTGCCTTTGGGGCTTTTTTTGTGTTGTAAGTGAACACAGGCTAGTCCGTTTTCCTTTTCTTTGTGTTCTGCTAAAGTCTGAGAGTTTCGAAGGGCGCGTCTGTGATATTCACAGCTGAGCAATTCAGAAATACTTGCAGACAGGCACATGTGCATAGCGTGGGATGGTGGTCATGCTGGAATCCCTAGGCAGGGCTTACTTCAGCTACTGTGGTTTACTCTTTGGGGTTTTTTAATAGCCAAGTTACAGGTGGCTTAGTATTTTGGATGCTTGGTGAATGTATAGCATCATCTAAAGAAAACATAATGAACAACCCCGTTTTATCTTGTTTTCACTCTGCATGGAGGGAAAGAAAAAAACCTGAAGAGTTCTAGTCAATGAAGGGTTCAGCTCTGAATCAAATCCTTACTGAAATTCCTTTCAAGGGATTACTCACTTGAGCAAATGTGTGCAAGGTCTGCCACAGAGGAAGTGGGTTTTTTAAATGAAAAAATGAAAGTTAATGTATAAAATTACGAGAGAAAGGATGGTGGCTGAATCTGGCACTGCAGTGAGACAGGGGAGCTCTTTGCCCTTCTCAGCTCTTCTAAGGGCTCCTGGCTGACCTTGAGCAAGTCAGTTCACCTCGTTTCCCGTTGGTGAGGTGGGAATGGCGGTATATCTGTCATCCACCGTTTGTGCATTTCAGGGACGAACAGCATAACCATGAGCTGCTTTGATTCCCCGCTTGGTGTTTGGAAGCCAGACAGGTACCACCATGTGCGTGGTACTGAAGCTGTCCTAATAAACCTTGCTAGTCCCAGCAGCTTCATCCCAACACGGTCACGCTGGTCAGTCTATCAGCCTGTAAGGTTCCTAGGAGACAAATAAAACTCTCTTTCAGATGACATCCCGGGCCACCAGTTGATCATCCCTGGTTTATTTTGTCTGCTTAAGGTGGAAGGTCTTTGAGGCCTCTCTGTGTGGCACCCCCCTCTTTGGGCACCTGATCTTACCCATGGGCACCTAAATGGTGGTGAAGTACAGGGGAGAAGTACGAGTATAATCAATTGGTTGTGCAGAATCTAGAATTACTTGAGCCATAAGCCTGTGAAATACATGTGGGAAGCATGAAAAGAATTTGCCAGAATTTACAATTTACCAAATATTGATATGTTTATGTTTCAAATGCCCAGACTTAATGGGAGATACTAACATTGGCATTTCCTCAGCATACAAGGAATGATTTTATGCTTTTAATGTAGAAAGGCTTTTCTTTTGTAACTAGTAATGATAATAATAACAGCATTATAATGCCTGTCTGGCTGTGGAGAGCTTTGCCCTTTCTCTCTTACACTTTTCAGTGCAATAGAAATTATTTAGAGGATTGAATAATTCTCTGCATTTTTCTTACTCTGGTGTTCAAACAAGTAAAACATCCTTAAAACATAAAACACCCCCTATAGTCTCAACAGAAATTGAGTTGGTCAGGAAAGAGGAAAAAAAGAGAGAAAACACTGAAATAGAGAGGAAGCTCTTTCAGATGCCTTCTCAGAAGACTGAAAGTCTGTATGAAAACAACATGCAGTGTTCACCGATTCCTCAAATAATGTTTGAAAAATAGCAAGATGCTGTTAATGTGCAGTATCACAATATCGTTCATTAAAGAAGGAGACATGAAAGGCCTGAATGGCTACAGGCTCATCAGCTTATCGTTAGTGGTGTATGGAAGTCTCACAAAAGATGCAGAGACTTTTTGGCCTCTAGCCAAAGAAGAAGTCAGGATTCAGAAATAGTACCTGAACTGTGAATTACCTATGACAACAACAAGGGTTAAGGGAAAGATAACTAAGTGTAGTGAACTATTTCGTGAGCCTTTTATAGACTACAAAATGTATTTTTTCTCCAGAAAAATAAAAGCATTTTGGAATACTGGGGCTTGAAAAGAGTAGTAAAGAAAAACTGTGACATGTGGAGATAAAATTAGATGTCAGAATTAAATAAGAAGCAATCTATTTGTAATATTCTAAGAAGGAATATAATTTTGGTGGGGTTTTTGGTATCACTGGAAAATTTCTCCCAGTGAGATTAGGAATGGTCAACCAGTTGACATTTCCAGAGTCACTTAAGATTGACTGTATTTGATATGATGAAAAGCAAAGCTGTAGATGGCTTGGGGTAGTATAGCTCCATCACTTTAAAGGGAGTAACTTACCATTTGCCCAAAGGCAGAGCAAGATCAGCATTGCCCCCCCGCCCCAGTGACTGAGTTACTTCAGCAGCAAGGGGATACAAGCGTGCAGTGAGGGCTGATCCAGGTATCCTCTCTGCCTGTCTCTGCGGAGAGCAAGAGACAGCTTTGTTCTCCAGTTCAGAGCACCATTCTTCCAGGCTGCTGTTTTGTTGTCATCTGCACCCCGCGATTGGGGCTGCGAGTAGATCACCTTCACTGGAGAAAGCAGAAAATAGTCTTCAGAGCGGCAGTCAGGGCTGGGGGCACCAGAATGGACTGACGATGGTCACGATGGCTGCTGGTGCAGTGGACTGTGAGATCTGGGGCTGGCTGTTTGCACCGCCTCTGCCTGACAGTGTGGGGTCCTGGTCAGAGCTTCAGCTATTGCACCAGCTCTAATAGATAACAGTGCAGACATTTCTTCTTTCTCTTTTGGTTCTGAGGAATGTGAGAGAAGTTTGTTAATTTTTTCCACTGAGCTTATTTCTGAAAAATTAATTCATATTAATTTAAACACCATCAATCTTTGTTTTCTCTGCTGATGGCCTTTAACTGGGGAGAGCAGGTGTGCTAGCTCCTCTCTCATCCTGCTCCATCCATTTCAGCAGCAATTTCTGGTAAGTTTTGTCACCTCCATGCGTACTGTGGAGAAATACTGAGCGAGCGTAGGGAGTGGCAATGCGAGAGCACAAAATTACACTCCTCATCAATCATTACCCTCTAGCAACTTCCAGGGCACTGTAAATTGCTGACTAACAAGGGAGAATTAGCTTGATAAAATCACCATTAGTGTCAGTTCAGAATGATGTAAACTTTTAAAGACACTGCTGTCCTCTCTGTCTCTCCCTCATCCATTAGTGTGTCTGTTCATGGAGATCCCAATCCAGCAAAGCACGTAAGCACATGCCTAATTGTAGGCAGATCAGTAATCCCAAGGAAATCACTGCGATATGAGTCCTAAGCATGTGTTTCACTGGATCAGGGCCATAACACACACTCTCTGAGCACAGAAATGATAAATATCTCTGTGTGAGCCAGTTTCTTGATTCAAAACCGGATTTAGACTCACTAGCTGGACTTAGAAATAGGACAGTCAAGTTTTACTGCAAGAGAGCATAGTGGTTAGTAGATAAATGGCATTATACTTAGCCTCTTTAACCTTCCTTTTCTTACTTGTTATTTGAGTTTTATCAGTTTATACTAGCTAGAAATGTGCCTCTCTAAACCTCTGCATAGTCTTCTCAAAACTCTGCAGTTACTAAAATTTAGACCATGTTTGGACCCATGCATAAAACCTAAAGTGCAGCCAGATCAGGAACAGTTTTTTAAAAGTTGCAGGTGAGATGCAGATGCAGCTAATGTAGCTAACAGGTTGTATTAGCTGATGGACTTCTCTCAGTATTGCCAGACTGCATACCAAATACTACAATTTGCTGTATGGATTCTCAGTGTTTGGGGTTTGTTTCTTCATGTTTTCAATTTTTCTTCACAGTTTTGAAGACAAGAATCTTACTTCTCGGGGAGGGGCGGGAGGGGGGAAACCACAACAAAAAAAGCTCAAAGCAAACAAACAAAAAAAACAACTAAAGATATAACAATGGACACCTGGATTCTCATATATTTGATTACAATAGCTGCTGCGAAAAAGGAAGAGTGCGAGGCATTTCAAGACTTCCCACAGAATCACCTGGGTGACCAGCACCCCTCATTTGTATTTCAAAATTGCTCTAAAGTTTGATGTTTTGTTGCTTTCATTATTTGGTTATCCAACTGGAATCTAAGACTTTGTACCTCTGACACTGTCATTCTTTTTTTTTTTTCATTTGGTTACAAAGCTGTAGTGACTTACTGATCACTACAGGTAGTTATTTGCATTGAAAGGCTGAGAATGTCCAGCTGTTTAGTTGTAGCCCACTCCATGATCACCATGTTTCATTGCTCCACAGCCATCTGGAACTGGGGCTTGATCTGCTGTGACATTACATCCATTGCCTCAAAGTGTCCCAAAAGTAATCCAGTCATCTTGTTTGAGCAGTTGATTTGTTTGAAGTCATAATACCACATTTGAGAACAGAATAGCACACCTTTGAGTGCCAGAAGCTATAATGGTGTTGATCTAGTCCGATCTTCCATAAGACACAGAGCAGAAAATATCACCTACCTCTGTTTCATTTTTTACTTTGTGGAATGACTTCTCCTGCTGTTGAAGTGGACTGTACTTTTACTCTTTCCAGAACAGCTGACCACTGGAACTTCAATGAGGAAAATGTCGTATCTTGACTGTTGCAAATGCTCAAATATATCTTAACGGAAATGAATGTTGTTACTCTTCATAAAACAAAATAGATGTCTATTCTGTGATAGACCTGAATGCTAGTTAATAAGAAGACAAGTATTAATCCTTCCAAAAATTGCTGTCTGTGAAGCAGAAATGCTGGGACAGATTCTCAGCAACTGCAAATGGATGCAAGTCAACTTATTTTAGTGGTCCTGAGTAGCTTTACACCAGCAGAGGCGTGGGCAAGCCAGTGTCTTTTACAACTCCACTCTTTTGAAACATAGCGCTCTTTGAGCTATCAGAACTGTTTGAAGGAATGTCTACTGCCCACAATCCGTGTGAAGTCCGTTGCATGCTCTGGTCCTATTTTGTCATTCAATTTTGACGCTAATTTGTGTTTGCAGGTGTGAAAGCTGTGGTGCTGTCTTCCACTCTGAGTGCAAAGTGAAGGCTGTACCATGCCCCAGGTGTGTGCGTAAAGAATTGCAGAAGAAGCAGAAATCCTTCTGGAGGCGACTGAATATGGATGAAAACTTCGAAGAGTCTTGCAACATGTTTGAGTTGTCATATCAGAACACATGAGTTACTTAAGGCAGTGGCCAGCCTGAAGAGAATCCCTTTCCCAGCTGCCAGCTCAAGCAACTTCTCAGCTTAGCCAGGCAGAAATCTGTTTGCAAAATAATATCTGACCTTCTTCATCTGTGAATAGCAGCTGCCAAAGTGGCCATAAAGCCTTGTTGGCTTTGAAATACCAATGGCTAAACTGCATTTTGCGTTGAAGTCCAGCCGCTAGCTCTCATACAAAATGTGGTTTACTTGAAATGCTGTAGGTCTAGCTAATTAAGCACTCAACTTTTTCTTTTCCACCTCTGGAGAAGACTTTGCCTCAAGGCAGAAAATATTTGCTGCCATGACCACATTACTTTTTTATGTTGTTCATTTAGAATTGATGAATCATCTACTTATTTATGTGTATTATTTATTATTAGCCTTGGCAGAGGTTCTGGTGAGGTGTTTCACAGAACCCAATAGGGTAGGAATGATTTTAAACTCACCTGCTTCTTCTGATGTGGACACGTGGTTCCATTTCCTCATGTTTCTAGAGAGCTATTTTTAAAGGATCAATGCATTTACGTGTCACTCCTCCCTGAGGAAAAAAAGTATCTCCCATCAAACCTTATCCAGGGTGCTTGCAAGCATAAGATGCAGAATAATCCTTCAGCTGTGTTTATATATTTATAACCACCCCAGGGAACTATTCCATACGCAGATGGACTTGCTACTGTTTTTGTTCAGGCTGGGTATATCAGTCAAGCTCTGTCACTGAAGTCCATTGGGTTTTACCCTGGTTATTCTTGATGTATGTGAGGCCACGTCCTCATCTCCGGTAACGTGATGTTGGTTCTGACCTCCTCCTAGCCTCACGTTTTAAGATGTTTTAAGTGTCCATATTGGGTTTGTTTTTATTTCATGAAGTTTACTTTCAGTGTTTCTCTAACCTGAAACTGTTAGACTGATAGTCAGGAAAGTGGTCTTGCCCATGTTAGTTAGAAAATACCTCCAAAATTGTGAAACACTAGTTTGGTATGCTCATGTGCAATTTGTGTCCTGCGTTCTCTGTGAGCTCTAAGGGGTTTTATACTTCTGTAGTGACTTCCATGGTGGAGAGCGAAGTTCCTCGAGGTATGGTTCTGCTCCACACACCTGGAACACAGGGAAGTATTAAACACGGTAAATTATATATATTGTGAAGGGGGAGTACGTGATGGATTTAACTGGGGAGATACGTGTCATCACTGGCAGTATGTTTAATTCATTGCGACTTCACCTCCAGTGAGCACTTAGAGATCCTCCTCCCTCCAATCCACATTCTTAACTCTTTCTCCAGACCCTGCAGTAATGTGTGTATTACATACATATGAAAACATTCACATATATATACACATAAATTTATATACAGAAAGCAAATATGGTTTCGGGAGGAGAAAGCCAGTCACATGCATGTGTATTTTTCCTCTCTTCTCACATAGGTTTGTGAAAATGCAGAATACTGATCTTTGCTTCCTATATAATCTGCAGGCTGTTGTATTCAAGGCAGAAAGCAGTCTTGATCATTGAAGCACCTCACTAATTGCTGAAGTATTTTAAATAAAAGAACAGGATACATCATGCTTACATGAAAAGGTAGAATGCTACAACAAGTTGCCTTGTACTGGAGTATAAGTGGTTACCTTTTCCAGCCTCCAGTCAAAGAAAGTAGCTGAATCTGAGCTTTCTCAAATTTGAGTGCAACTACT